TACATAGACTGAAGCTTTCAATATGTTGAGGTTTCTCTTTGTTACTTAATATGAGCTCTCTTCGTAACCCTTCAATTAAACCATAAGAGTCATAAAAGGTTAATTAGTACATAGAATAATGCTCCATTGTGAGATGTTTGTATGGTAGGGTTCATGAGCAGGTATAAGGTTTAGGCCTTTGTGGAGGTAGAAATATACCCTCGAAACAGTTTTTTTCTTTGCATTCTATATTTGGTTTCTGCATGCCTCACACTCATTGCTGTTGTACAACAACTTCTGTCTGACTTAACAATTGACGTGCTAAACTACATTGCGTACGTCTTGAATGTAAGTTTATCTTATACATAATTAAATTCTAAATTTCTAATGCAGGTTGTGCAGCTGTTTTCATGCTTGGACAAGATAAGCTATATCGAATGGGCCCTCGATTCTGAGTACATTCTTTGTGGTCTATATAAAAGACCAATGATACAGGCATGGTCGTTGGCGCAACCTGAATGGACATGCAAGATAGATGAAGGTCCTGCTGGTATTGCGTATGCTAGATGGAGCCCGGACAGCCGTCACATACTTACCACATCAGACTTCCAACTGCGTTTAACAGTTTGGTCGCTATTAAACACTGCATGTGTACATGTGCAATGGCCAAAGCATCCTTCCAAGGGCGTTTCTTTTACCAAAGATGGGAAATTTGCTGCAATTTGCACAAGGCGTGATTGCAAGGACTACATTAATCTTCTGTCTTGTCATACATGGGAGATAATGGGTGTATTTGCTGTGGACACATTGGACTTGTCTGATACTGAATGGTCGCCAGATGACAGTGCAATAGTGATATGGGATTCGCCTCTCGAATATAAGGTGGCAACTTCATTTCTTTTGGCTTTGTTAAACCAAAATGATGCGCATTAAGCTTGTTAAATAATGGTTTAGTTTGAAAAATAAAATAAAAATCATGGTGTGGTTTGATACAGGTTCTAATATACTCCCCAGATGGGAGGTGCCTATATAAGTATCAAGCATATGAAAGTGGATTGGGCGTAAAAAGTGTTTCATGGTCTCCTTGTGGCCAGTTTCTAGCAGTGGGTAGTTATGACCAGATGTTGCGGGTTTTGAATCACCTGACTTGGAAGACTTTTGCTGAATTTATGCACCTATCTACTGTCCGTGCTCCCTGTTGTGCTGCTGTTTTTAAGGTGATTGTTTGTTAATATATTAGATAGCCAGATATCATGTTCTTTTAGTTTGTTGGATGATTTCTCACCCCCTTAATTTGTAAAACGCCAGGAAGTAGATGAGCCACTGCTGCTTGATATGTCCGAGTTATGTTTAAGTGATGATTTTGCACAAGGCAATGATGGTAAGCATGACTGTTGGTACATTTCTCAAAAGCAGGATTGCTGTTCTTTCTTAACTTATAAAACATTTGCAAACTATGAAAGTAGTGTGCTGTAACATTTGTCTGCATGCACTACCCTTCTACATTCTTGTTTAGTACTTTCGTATTCTATATCAGGTTCCTTTTTTCCTGTTGTTGGTGTGTGTGTGTGTGTATTTGCCAGGTTTCATTTCTGCCTTGTGATTGGATCCCTTTACTTTTCTTCTTTCCCCCATATTGATTTTTTTATTTTTCTTTCCAAGTAGATGCTTCTGAAGGACATTTCAGAGTTAGGTACGAGGTTACAGAAGTGCCCATTAGTTTGCCTTTCCAGAAGCCTCCTGCAGACAAACCTAACCCCAAACAAGGAATTGGTAAGCCCTTTCTTCCTTTGTACTGTTTTGGTTTGCAAATAAATACAAATTTTGTAGACCCCTGTCAATGCAGTAGCTCAAACATGAAGATAGCTCTTAAGATATTATCTGGTGTAATTACTCCTGTAATCACTCCTGCAATATATAGCCTTTAAATGAAGCTAAACCTAATCTGCTGAAAAACAATCAAACTGGTCTCTGTTCTAGCTATTTACATTAGCAGAGTGGAGATGCACTTAGAAACTTAAGTGTTCATAATTGCATCCGCCCAGTCATCAGATAACATTCAATGTCCCTGAGAGAGGCCATGATGGTTGAGCCCAGTCATACTTTTGGACGAATGTTGCAAGTTGAGGAACTTCAAGTTGTGGTGTCAAGTTTATTGATTCTAATTGGACCTATATCAGAGTTTGATATCAATATTGCAGTCAAATATGTTTGCATGGGATATTTCCCAATGACCTTGAATACTTTAAGTACCTCATTATGTGGAGTCAGCTGCTTTTATTCATTGACTTTGTGTAAGGACGGACGTCATCATTCAAATGCTTGTTCACCTTATGAGTTATCAATATATGTGTAAGCAATAATTCAAAGTTCAAATGCACTTTCAGCATATTAGTTTGAGACTTTGTTTGATTTTTGGCCGTATGCATCCTTAGGTGCTAACTGAAAATTTGCTCGAGATTCATTATATGAAAATATTGCTAAAGCTATGAGGTTTGTAGGTCTAATGTCATGGAGCAATGACAGCCAATACATCTGCACTAGGAATGATAGCATGCCAAGTATTCTGTGGATCTGGGACATACGCCATCTTGAGCTTGCCACTATCTTGGTGCAGAAAGATCCAATTCGAGCAGCAGTTTGGGACCCTACGTGCACGCGTCTCATTGTTTGCACTGGAAGCTCACATTTGTACATGTGGACTCCTGCGGGTGCTTACTGTGTGAGTATCCCGCTTCCACAGTTTAGCATAGTCGATCTAAAATGGAATTCGGATGGAAGCTGTCTTCTCCTGAAGGATAAAGAGTCGTTTTGCTGCGCTGCTGTTGCTGTACTTCCAGAATCCAGTGAATATAGCTCAGATGATTGAGGCAGCTTGCTTTACCAATATTTATTGAGAAAAGTAAAATGTAGAACTAAGCAGTTCAACTTGCTCTGTGTGTGTATTATATGTATGTAGTTGGGATGTTCCATTTGTTGTAGTTGGAACATCTGACACTTTGGCTACAATAGCGGCCTTTCTCTACCATTTGTATTTAGATCATCGTTATTGCTCTTGGAAAATTGACCGGCTTAGACTTGCTAAGCCTGCATGACCAATTTGCAGTAAGTGCCTCGGTGGATTTGTTAGCCCCCCTCCCCGACCACCACCACCACCACCGTAAAGAAAATATGGAAATGGACTGTATAAAGTGACAATTACTGCTTTTGAGATGATAATTTTATTCTTAGGCTAAATTACGTTTTTGGTCATCGAAGTTTGACTCATTTTTCACTTTGGTCCATGTTATTTTGGATTTTGACATTTTTTGTGATGTGGTTTGGTTTGGTTTGTAATAAATTGAAATCATAAATTTTGATGAATTAATAGATGAAATTCGATGAGATAACAGTTGTAATAATCCCAATACGAAAACTAAAGAATTCCATCAAATTTTCTTAACATTGTTAGTTAAACTTGAAAGAATTGATACATAGACATTTTTCACATGTTTTCATATTTTTATTATTTTTCATGATATTGCATTAATTGAATTGATGAATTTATTAGAGCAAAAATTATTTAAGTAGCAAATAAACCTTTTGGAGATGTTCTTAATTGAACAAAACTACGTGGTTAAACAATATAAATTATTAGAACAAAAAATGGAAAGTGGCCCAAAACAAAAGGAACAAGAATGTGGACCAAACCAAACTAAGAGTTTTCTAGACATGAATTCAATTCAATGATCTTGAAATTGTAGGGCCTCCTTATTCTTTATAATGGATAATCCATATACAAGTGCCAACGCATTTGGTTGATCATCGATTAATAATTATGATACACCTGTCACTCAAAAGATGCAGCCACAAATAATCATGGGCTAAATGGTGAACCAACCACAACCACAACCACTCAAAGATGCAGCCACGTCGTTTTCCAAGTTAGTTCTGTAAATCCAGTGCTAGATAAAGGACCAAATTGTCTTTTCAAACAATGTCCAAATTGGTGCCCTGCCATCACCTCTATCCTCTCTTCCCTTTCTCTTCTCTTGTTGCTGCTTGTTAGAGGCAGAGTTTGCTTGGCTTCTTCTGGGAATCTCAATCCGTGAACACGTTAAGTAATGGAAAATTAATTTAGAACATGTTAAGTGATACTTGAGGTATCTTAAGAGTGATTTGAGCTTATTAAATAACTTTAAGGCTGAATTTCTCACAAATGGAGTGACTTAGAAGCCTATATCACCCAAACATTTGATGAATAAATATAATTTTTTTTAATAAGGGTTAAGTTGCTAATATCAGGCAAAATCATAAAGCTCATCTATTTTAATATCATATATCAACTAGAGGATTTTTGTTCGCCATTATCATTATATTAATTGTCGTTTCATGCGTGTAATTAATCTACGTGCTACACAAAATCAAAAACACACTTTTCTTGAGTTAACCTGCATGCCATTGCCAACAACTTTATAATGATATTATTGAACCGCATAAAGTTCTATCAATAAAAAATATATGACTAACAATATGCAATTTATTTTGATGAAAATAGTGAATGCTACATTGCTACTAAACACTTTAAATATTAAAAACAACTACTCGCGTAATAATATGATTGAGGATAAAGACGAAAATGCCTATTTTTATAATTGATCGCTTCCAGTGTTGGAATGTCGGTTATTTTTTGTAAAGAAAAAGAAGAAATCCCATGGTCTTGGATATTTCTGGGGAAATTACAACCGACCCTTGTACCGACCATTGATGCCCGCAAAGCAAAAGCCGACGCGTTTCCGAATCTTAACGAACGAATTGTAATTTGTAATAAATAAATACTACCCTGCTGCTGATGTTATCGGAGCATTCTTCTCATCCACTCATCTTTTTCTTTTTAGTGTAAAAGATAAAAAACTTCAACCAAAAAGAAAAATGAATTTGCTTTTTTATATTTATTTCTTTTTATCTAAGAAAGCGAGTAAAAAAATAAACAAATTGATTTTCATGCATTATTAAAAAAAATCCTTTTCAGGAAAAACATTAGAAGGAAAATTAGTTTCCTTCGCTCTCAGGTATCTTTTTATTTTCGCTTCATTTCAGTCTCTCTCAACTACCGAACCAGCTGAAGTTGAAGAAGCTGAGAACATAAAAACTCTCTTCTCTCTTCTTTTTCCCTTCATTTATTTCCACAGCTTTGCCGATCGTCTCTCTCCAGCTTTGCCGATCGTCTCTCTCCAACTCGGCTGTTGTGTGTTTTCAGTCAATGCCTATAGCCGGGAAGAAGATAGCAGCAACCATGCAAAACGGCGTCGTAGAGAACGGGGTTTGCTCGTCCGCGTCGGTGAATGGGAGTCACAATGTCTGGAGTTCTAATGAGTCCGATTCTTCGTCTGCTGACCATCTCGTTGTCATGGTCCATGGAATTATGGGAAGGTCTGGCCTTTTCAATTTCATCGTTTGTTAATTTACTTCGAACAAACTTGATTTCATCAAGATTTGATTTCTGTACGATAAATTTTATTTCTTTATGCTTTGGATATTGACTAATTGTTCAATTATCGGAGGATTGAGAAGGTTAAATGGTGGTTTTGCTTTCTTTGAAATAAAATTTTGTATTTGAAGTGATGTTATCGACAAATTGTTTACCTTTTCATGGTTTTGATGATTAATTTGATGTTCCGTTAAAATTGTTAGTTCCAAATGTATGTTAGATATACTAAAACTTTGTTTTTGGTCCATAGTTTTGATTTTATGCTTACTTTACAAATGTATGTTTGACATATTGGGCAAAAAATATGGTTTACTGTTTAACTTTCTTTTCTTATATTGGAATTTGTCTGCTTTGGTTGTGTGTACGTTAAATTGAATCTTTTAGCATGACCATTAATACTTCATTTTGTATTTTGGGTATTTGAAACTCATCTGCTGGAAAGTTTTACTCTTGTAGAATGTTGATATTGTTCTTTATTTGCTCGTGCAGTGCCGCAGATTGGAAGTTTGGAGCAGAGCAATTTGTTAAAATGCTTCCTGACAAAGTATTTGTTCATTGTAAGGACCATTCTTTTGCATCATGCATTCAATTAATGCTGATACACTTACTCGAATAAGGTTTTGTTGGGTTGAGCTCTCTAATACCTGCGATCCTTTTTAGTTCTTCCTCTGTTTTTGGTTACCATTTTTGGTATAATGTAATTATTGATTTACAGAGCCAAAAATGTACCTTTTTTTCCCGAACTTTATCTTGATTTTTTACCTGCCACTCATTTCATTTCTTCTTAATGTTACTAATTTCATATAAGAGGAGATTGGTTGAAGAAAAGAATCATTAAACCAGAGAAAGGTGGCCCATACATACGATCATCCTGCTGCTTATAGGATTGGACAATGTTTGCATATTTGGCTTTTCTAGTCTATTGTTAATTTGAGTTCCCCGGAGTTGAGTTTTGGATTCTAGTGCCCTTGCTTTGTATATATTTAGTTCTTTTTATTTGTAAGAGAAATTTTTTAAGTGGAATTAGAGAAATATTGATGTGATCAATGGCATTTGATATTGTTTGCAGACAATATAAGTTTGTCCAGTCTAATTAAGTTGGTTGAAATTCGTCTGCAGGTAGTGAACGGAATGGTTCTAGGCTGACTCTGGATGGTGTGGATGTAATGGGGGAGCGATTGGCAGAGGAGGTTGCTCGCTGCCTATATATATTGTGGAAATGTTTGAATCTATTTCCATATCCAAAAAATAAAATAAAAAAGCATCCACTTCCTATTCTGTATCACTTGTTAACCAAATTTATTAATTTTAGGTTGTCGAACTGACTCAAAGAAAGCCAAATCTAAGTAAGATCTCATTCATTGGACATTCTGTGGGAGGACTAGTGGCAAGATATGCAATTGGGAGGCTATATAGACCCCCTAAAAGTGAAAATTCGGAACTTTCATCTCCTAATGGGAGTGAAGAGGATCCAAGGAGTACGCTATGTGGCTTGGAGCCTATGAACTTTATTACTGTTGCTACACCTCATCTTGGTTCAAGAGGTAACAAGCAGGTAACACATTTGCCTTTCCACTTATTCATTCAGAATGTACTTGACTTCCTAGATGTTCTTTAACATCTCAAGCTTGAGCAAGTTCTTGGCTTTCATTTGGTTTTATGACTTTTGGTGTACTGTATAGGGGTCATGGGATAAGCTTTTCTAAATGTCTGATTCTGTTGCTTATGTGGTGGAAAACTTTGTTAAGGCAGGAGTGAAAAAAATGTCAGGCTGATCTTATGTTATGTTGTTCAGTGGTTAGTTGGTATATGCATTTGGTATTGTACTTATGCATTAGTTCACCTTTTGTAGGTACCATTTCTTTTTGGTGTGCCTGCCTTTGAAAAGGTTGCTAGTGCGGTCATTCATTTGATATTTAGGAGAACAGGTAGGCATCTTTTTCTTAATGACGACGACGATGGAAAGCCTCCGCTGCTTAAACGCATGATAGAGGATTATGATGAATGTTACTTCATGTAGGTTTTAAAATTCCAATTTTAACTTTGAGATTCTAAGTTTCATGGGCTTTCCTCTCTGAGTTAATCTGAATATGTAATTATAGAATGACATGCGTTTTTTCTTTGACAGGTCTGCGTTGCGTAGTTTTAGACGTAGGGTGGTGTATTCAAATGTGGGCTATGACCGTATCCTATTTTCCGTGATCATTATGGATCTTATTAATGTACATTTTCCAATTTGAAGTCTTTGTTAACCTTTTGTTTTCAATAACAAATACTACAAAGATATCGTTGGCTGGAGAACATCATCTATTAGACGTAACAGTGAACTGCCAAAGGTATTATTGCCATATGCATAGTTTTGTAATGGTAGGTTGAGTTTGGAATCTTCTGGTTGCCATTTAATGTAATGAGTTTTCTCCTTTATCAGTGGGAGGATACTGTTGATGAAAAATATCCACATATTGTTTATGAAGAACATTGTAAGGCCTATGATGCTGAGCAGTGTGAGCCTACTTCAGTGGAAAATGATGGCTCTGACAAGCTTGAAGGTTTGCAACTTCATTTTCTATTTGTTTTCAACTTTTGGTAGTGATTTTTTGACATTTGAATTCGATGTAAATAGAACTTGTTGTCTATGCTTGTAGCTATTCTGGTTGGTTATACTTTGCTAATTTTGCTTACATCTTATGTTTACATTTCATTGCTCTTGTATCCGTTTGCATCTGCATGTTACCATTTACTTGAGTATTGTTGTATTGTTGTATTGTTGTAGTGTGTTACTTGCATGTTATTGTTTCTCCCTAAACTATTTCTGCCTGAACACCTTTGTTTTCTCCGGAGTTAAGTGATTTCTCAACTTTACAACATAATAATTGGTCTCTTTGTGCGCTCTTTGTGCAGGGGAACTATTGACAGGCCTATCTCGTGTGTGCTGGGAAAAAGTAGATGTTAGCTTCCACTGCAGCAGACATAGATTTGCTGCTCATAGTGTCATTCAGGTATCTCTCTCTCTCTCTCTCTCTCTCTCTCTCTCTCTCTCTCTCTCTCTCTTACATACAGACACACATGCTGACGTCCAAGCGCTCACACACGGACCTTATGCTTGAATGCACTTTAGTAACAAATTCTCACACTGAACATTTTACAGGTCAAAGATCAAAGCGTACATATAGAAGGTGAAGATGTCATACGTCATATGATTGATCGTTTCCTCAAATAGAACCGAATGACCACGAGATGAATTGTCGATGCAACCTAGGCCTGACTCTGTGGTTATTTCAGTAATGGATGCTACAATGAGTATGCTGCTGCTGCTGCTGCTGAGTGCTGAGAATTCCACGATCTGTGCACACCATTAAATTGTATCTGAAAAATTACCAGCCAAAAAGCAAATGTATCTGAATTTTATTGCGGGGTTTGCAGCATGCAGTTGAAGGCAATCTTTCATCTCAATCTCAATAACAGAAAATGCTTTGCACATAATGTAAAATGTGTTTCCACTGTATATTATTATAAAATGCAAGCGTCACATTCGAAATCTGTTACTGTCTTGTTTTTGAAAAAACCCCGAAGTTGACATGTAAATAAAATTTGGAAAGAACAAAAATTTCAGAGAGTTCTGAGGAGGGAATGGTATCTTATTATAATTTTCTAGAGGAGAAAAGAAATTTAATTATTGGTCAAAAGAAAAAAATGGGTTCAAAAAGAGCTGCTTGACCTCATCCTTTGACCTGACAAGTGTCCGTTTGTAGTCGAATTGCATCCTTAAACGAGCATATCAATTATTACCGTTTGGCCGTTACCGCCACCACGCAACGGAGAATCAAAAAGCAGCTCCTCCCAGAGTTCGCCATTGGCACGCTTTCTTCAACATTTCATTTGCCTTCTCATCTCTCTCGTCCTTCGCAAAATTTGCGAAAAGCTTTGAAATTCCAATGGAATCGGCCATTTCGTCTCCGCTTTCCACGTCGTCTCATATGCTACCTTCGCCTTCCCGTTCATCGCTTGGCTCCAGATCTCATTCTTTCCCGTCACTTCCAAACCTCCGGTATCCGAGTTTCAAATCCAGATGCTTCCTCGGAATTCCGTTCCGTTCGCGCCAAACCCAGCCAATCCGATGTCAAAGTTCTAATCAACAACCAGCTAAAGACGACGGCTTTGTCATCGAAGACGTTCCTCACTTGACTGATTTTCTCTCTAATTTACCGGTAAGCTAAACAGTAATTAAGCACCGGTTGAATGTGCTCTCAAGAACAAGTCTACGCAATTTATGTTTATTATTTTTTAAAGTCAAAGTTTTCTCCTTCCTTTCAGTCGTATCCAAATCCATTGAAACAGAGCCAAGCTTATGCTGTTGTCAAGTACGTTTGTCTAAATTCATGTTATTTTTCCCTTGAAAGCTTTATTTTTCGGTCATATGTAAATAAAGGGTTTATGTTGCTAGGCAAACTTTTGTAAGCACAGACGATGTGGTTGCGCAGAAAGTGAGTGATCCCTTTCCACGCTTCCGAAAAAGAGAGAAGAAAGTTAACTGCCAAACTTTGAATTTGTTTCATTTGTCTTACTTTTTGTTGTTGCTTTTAAATAACTGCATCATGCAATGGCTCTAGGTTGTTGTTCAAAAGGATGATCCCAGAGGGGTACATTTTCGACGCGCAGGACCTCGGGAAAAGGTACATTTTCGTCTAAGTCACCACCTATATATGATATGCTTGGCGAAAACGAAACTCTAATAACATTATCTTTTCTAATGTTAGGTTTATTTCAAGTCAGATGAAGTGCGTGCTTGCATAGTGACATGTGGGGGTTTATGCCCAGGGATCAATACTGTGATTCGAGAAATTGTATGTGGTTTGAACTACATGTATGGTGTGGAAGATATACTTGGAATTGAGGTTAGTACATTTTACACTGTTGCTAACTCTGTAAAACTCTTCTAGTCAAAGGCTATTAATAGTTCATTACTATGTTCTTAACCATGTATTGTCTGACCAACTCAAGAAATGTAAGCATCCCCTTGCTGCTGTTGAAAACTTGCAGGGAGGATATAGAGGCTTTTATTCTAAAAATACATTGAGGTTGACACCAAAAGTTGTCAATGATATCCACAAGCGTGGTGGGACCTTTCTTCGAACTTCACGAGGAGGTCATGATACAAACAAGATAGTTGATAACATACAGGACCGAGGAATAAATCAGGTGGAAATATTATATATGCTCTCGTTTCCTACATATTTGGGCTGCTTAAACTTATTAATACATTACGGAAAACCCAACTGAAAAAAATGAAGTTAATGAGAGGAAGTCGTTAACATGAATTTTAGGTGTACATAATTGGAGGTGATGGCACCCAAAAAGGAGCAGCTCTAATTTACAAGGTGAACATTATCTCTCTAAGATGAATCCATTTCCTTGGCATAGCATGTTGTGACATTAGCATATTTTGTCAAGGAAGTTGAGAAACGTGGTCTTCAAGTGGCAGTTGCTGGGATCCCTAAGACAATTGATAATGATATCGCTGTAAGTTCTATCATCCCTGATGGATTTGCAATATTTAGTTTTACTATGCTGTTACTTCCGCATTATGCAATGAAATTTTGATGCCATTTTAAAGAATTTGGCAAGTTCATGATCTCAATATGACTACTATAAATTTTAACAGACAACATATTTCTTCCTCACATATATTGAAGAACTATATTTAGTCTATGACATGCTGTTCAATGTTAGTCAACATTCATAAAGTTGCCCCAAAATCATACTGGTATTATTTTTGGAATTTGGCTTTAGGTGATAGACAAATCCTTTGGTTTTGATACTGCTGTTGAAGAAGCTCAGAGAGCTATTAATGCTGCACATGTGGAGGTTGAAAGTGTGGAAAATGGAGTTGGAATTGTCAAACTCATGGGCAGATACAGTGGTATGTGCGTTGAACCATTAATGGAATGGATAACACACTTTCATTTTTCATCTTTTGCTTATCATCTTATGTCAAATGATGAATGGTGAACATGTATTTGTAAGGTCTCTTCCTTCCTGTACTTGATATGTTTTTCTTCTGTAGGTTTCATTGCTTTATATGCAACTTTGGCAAGTCGAGATGTGGTAAGAATCTTAGCCCCTCTCCCCAGAACGTCAACCTACTTATGATCTTAATGATTTGTGGAAGAAAACATAGGATAGTTAAAAATATCATATCATATCATGTAATGCGGATGTTCTAGAGATTATCAGAAAAGTATATATAATGTCTATGTTAAGCTGTTATGTGTCTTATGGAATGCGGATTCTACTACCCCTTCTTTTTAAACTGCTTGGCTGACCTTGCTTTTATGTCTGTGCTTCTCCTTCAAATCTTTATCTTTTTTAAATAAATAAAAATGTTGTTCAATCAAAGATATCCTGATGTTGCTATTTGATAGTAATAAAGGTATGGGTGAAATGAATGACTGGGCTGTGGAAATTCAGCATCTTTCTTTTCTTTCAGGGAAAAATTAGAGAAATTTTCTAATTTTCATATTTCTGTGATATAACTCATATTTCTTGAAAACTGTTCAGGAAACTATAGAACTGAAAATTTCTAGATGCTTTATCAGTTCAACACCCCTGTGCCAGCCTTCCTTTTAGGGATTGAGAAATAGAGATTTATGCTATGGTACAACTCAAGTGTCTTGGAGATTGTTTAGGAAACTAGAGAACCAAAATTTTTAAAAGCTTTAGCAGTTCCTAAAGAAGAATATGCTTAGAATTTGGAAAAGTTTATGACCTGTTCAACCACTTTCATACCCCAATTAAATAGATTATTATTTTTTTGTAATCAATAAGTAGATTGGTTTGCATAATTACAAGGACTATGAAAAGGATTGAAAAATAAATTAGTTTCAGAAATCGTAACTTTGTATGTGCATTTGCATATGATGCAGCAATTCAAATTAGTGAATTTGAAGCCGTGTTCATCTAGCCTGTGTTCTATATGGCAATCAAGGGTGTGCACATTGTCCTAGTCTAGAGACTATACAGTGATCTGGAAACATATTGGTTTTGATTCGGACTAGCACCACTTTCAATGATATTTAACTTCTGTCCTCCATGAATTGAAATATTGCTCTAAAGTAAGTAACTTAACTGCTGTGAGATCTCTTAATAGGCTTTTGGATGTAACAGGATTGTTGCTTGGTTCCAGAATCTCCATTCTATTTGGAAGGTCGGGGTGGGCTTTTTGAATTTGTTGAAGAGCGGCTTAAAGAAAATGGACATGTGGTTATTGTGTTAGCAGAAGGAGCAGGGCAGGAATACGTTGCACAGGAAATGCAAGCGGTTGATGGGAAAGATGCATCAGGAAATAAGCTACTCCTAGATGTTGGCCTATGGCTGACCGAAAAGATTAAGGTGTCGCACAAACTGTCAATAATATTTTGAGTAGTTTTGAGACATTTCCATTTCATTTTATGGGCAGTGCGAGTTTTTTTGTTGTTGTTCTGCTATGGTTTCTTCTTTTGTTATCCAATAATATTGATTCAGCTCTTTGTTTATATTTTCATGTCACAGGATCATTTTACAAAAGTTCAGAAGATGGCAATAAATACGAAATATATAGGTACATTTTGATATAGTGTATAGAACATTATAGCAGCAATGAAAGGTTCAAGATCCAAAATAACTTTTATCCACTCCTTTTTGCCTCTTTTACATTTTTATTAAGGTTTCTTTTCTTCGCTTGCATAAAGTCTAAAGTAGATGTGCTAAGCAGTCAAGATCTTATCATTCCCAAACGATTATTGTAGAAAGTTTCTGGGCGCTACATCTCAATAAAATAAATGATTTATCTTTTTATCCAACAGATCCAACATATATGATTCGTGCTATCCCAAGTAATGCATCAGACAATATATACTGCACTCTTCTTGCTCAGAGTGCTGTTCATGGGGCCATGGCAGGATTCAGTGGTTTCACAGTTGGGCCTGTAAACAGTAGACATGCTTATATTCCCATTTCTGTAAGCACTTTCCCTGCTCCTATTGTTGTTATTGGGTGTTTTTTGCTCTTGTTTATGCATATTTTACTAAATTCCTTTCATTTTCTTTGTTTGATTTATGAGTGGAACTTTTAAGAGGGGATAGAAGCTTTAGACAAGAACTAGGTCCAGCTTGAATTTACAGTAACAATCATGAAAGTAACTAGAAAAACGTTTGGCATAAACTTTACCTTGTATAGAAAGGAGAGAAGTACATAGATAAACTAACCAACCGATACTCTTAAATGGAAACGGACAGACTACGATTATTTGGACTGAGGCCAAACTATACAATGTTTAAGGGTACAACTTATAAGTTAAAAACAAATAAAATAAAACTCATGGACACGACTACAGCCCATCTCCAATGGATCTGAATTCTGAGGCCTGTTGAAACTTAATAAAGCTTTAGGCTAATAGCTCTTAATCTGTGTGCTAGTGTATTGTTGTGGATCTTACTGTATTGATAAAGTTGGAGGCATATGGTTATGATTCACCAAAAGATAGAAATTGTATAGTTATGAATGGCATATGTGGTACTGCAGCGTGTGACAGAGACGCAAAACACAGTGAACTTGACAGATAGGATGTGGGCTAGACTTCTTGCATCGACGAACCAGCCTAGTTTCTTGGAAGGCAATGAACTGCATGAAAGAGTTGATAAAGAGGATGTTGATGTGATCAACCACAACATGAGAGCTACTTCCATATAAATTTATGGAGCTGAGGTCGCAGTTATTTTCAAGTGGACACCACAACTTTGTTTCTTGGAATTATGCCAACAGGGTCTTACCATTCTTAAAAGGTTTTACACCAACCACTTTCCAAGGTGACGTGACTTAGGCCTTGCTTTTATTACACTTTTCTCTTTGAAAAATGAAATAAAATAAAGCAAACAGAAAGATTGGACATGGAGGATGAGAAAGAGATGAGAGAAGTGAGGAAATGAGGAAATGAAAGAGGTGGGGACAACAGTTAGAATAAAAACTTAGACAGTACAACAAAACCCAGATAATATCTTAGGCTTTATATTCTGAATATCAATTTATGAACGATCACCCGTTGGGAAGATTAGGTTTTATGCTGCAAAAGATTTTTTGTTATATAGGTTACACTACTGATAATTTGTTTGTAAAACAATGTCATTATGCTGTTAATGGATTCAACTTTGGCATCATCATCATCATTTCACTTCTTGAAATAATTTTTGATCTTTTCACTGCCTAAATTACCATCTACCCTCATATTTGTGAAGCAGAATAAAATTCTCCTTTGTGGTTATTTCTTTCTTTTTGTGGTATATAGTTGGTTTATTTTTAGCATAATTTGGATTGAATTTGAAACCATGTGGATAAGGTGACGGCAACAACAAAAGTCGACACATAATATCTCTTGTCCTCCTGTCCTGTTTATCTTTAGTTTCTCAACTTGCAAGGTTGTTTGTTCCTATCATGGACCCCAAAAATAAATAAAATTTAATTTCAAGTTGCATCCATGCTTGGCTGGCTGTCGTTTATCTGAGAGTTGCGTACTGGGCCAAATGAGGAGACGTGTACGGAACATGGAGACAAGTTTGCAACTTCACAGCTGGGTCGAACCTCTTTTAAACCCGAGTTATTACTCTGGCCCACCCAGCAATCGCGTAACTATGCCCATCGTGTGAACCAAACTTACCTTTTTGTTAGGTGCCACACGTGTCCACACCAGATTTTCCTTTCTTTTCTTTCTCTTTTTCTTCTTGAAATAGCAATGTTGACTTTTCTTATCATATTTTTCATCTCATTTGTCAACACCAGTTTGACCTTTCATATTATCTGAACATGAACATTCTGACTAAGAACGGTTTTAGGTGGGGTTATAATCAGAGGTTCCTTAATAAGCATCCGATTCGGTGCAGAGTTATTGTTAGACTGTTGGATTGAACCCTTGACGTCATTTTAAAATGTGCAAAATGGACTTTTTATTTTCTATCTGTGTGTATGGACATTGTCTCTTGTATGAAGTTCACATAAAGAATTTCTTTTGGGGTTATAAGTCAGTAACCCCAAAAGAAATGTTAAATATATCTCTACCATTAAAACAATGCCCTTTTAATAATAAAAGTAATAGCTTCTCTGAAAAAAAATTAACAAATTTAACAGCTTGGGACTGTATAATAATTACACATTGCATTATTTTTAATTACTTTCTATTTTTACTCTTAATCCATATTTGTACACAGTGAATAAGTGACCCTTCTAGTACTAGTAATACATAGAGCATGCATATAGTAAATCAGTAAATCCACCATCCAATCACTTTCCACCACGTTAGCAGAGGAGGAACCTGGATAACGGTGACAGTTGAGCTCCTTGGAGTTCAAGGCTTCAAGAGTTCAGTTTCTGGCAGCTCCTCCTCCTCTTGCTTTACTGATCTCCTCCTCTTCCGAGCCGTGTTCACCGGCGGTTGAGACGACTGTCCAGCCTCCAGTGGAAAATTCAGTATTGCTTTCCTACCCCTGAGCTTAAATGCAGCACAATCATAGGCCTTGGCAGCATCCACATCAGTGTCAAATGTCCCTAGCCAAACCCGAGTCCCTTTTCGGGCCGGATCACGAATCTCAGCCGCATACTTGCCCCACGGCCTACGCCGGACTCCCCTATAATGCCTTGGCACTTCACCAGAACCCGACACTTGCTGAAACTTATCATCAGGCGAGCTGGGAGTTGCAGAATCACTAGTTGTTGTTTTTCCCTTGGTGGGTGAGCTCAAATTCAGAGGTTCGACTTTTATGGATGGCGAGTTTATGGTTTCGGGTTTTGTTTGGAAATTGCAGGGTTGAGGGTTGTAGCAATGGGGATCTGAAATGGGGGAGGTGGACTCAGATTCAGAGAGGGAGCACTCTGGTTTCACAACAAGTGGTTGAAAATCATATGAGAAATCATAATCAGGGATTTGGAAATTGAGATGAGAAAAAAAGCCATCAGTGAAGGTGAAGTCACCTAAGAGATGCTGGCGAATGAGTTCAAGAGTTGATTCGTCTTGTTCTTCATGTGTTGCCATTTTGAAGTGAGAGCAGGAGAGTTGATTGGCATGCATGGTGGTGTGGATATGGATATTGGATGTATGCTATTTTAGTTTAGAATACGCATTTCGGGGCTTGGGTTGAAGAAATTGTGGCAACTTTATTATATTATATAGGAAAGAACTTTTCTCTTCTCTCTTCTCTCTTCTTTTCTTTTTGGTTTTTGGTTTTTATTTTTTCTTAAATCCCTGCCGTCTTATTCGTTCTTCTGTAATTAATGAAGATGAAAGCAATTAGTCCTTTTTTAATTAAGATTGAAATGAGAGCGAGAGCAGCCCACAGTATTTGTGCAAACTCATTTCTGTTTCCAGCTGAGAAGATAGTTAGTTATCTGATGATCCACTTGCAACTAGCCAACTAAACTAATTACTTGGCATTAGCAGCAGCTGTGGTTGTATTCACTGGCGGACCCAGAAATCTTTTAGCAAAGGTGCAATATTGACTGAGTATGAAAAATGGTTTTTCGGAATAATCATTTTCTCAAGATAATTTTTGGCGGCTTTTGTTCCTTACACATCAAATAAGAAAACTTGATTTTATGGGATTTTAGTATGAAGTATATATTGACTTAATGAGCCATCATTTTTAGCCTAAATTGTATTTTGCACTAAAACTGAATTTTCATATTTTGATTTGGTGGGAATTTGATTTTCTAGTATTTTTATTTGAATCCAAATGGGGGGTACTTCCTTATTTACATTGTAAACTTAAGTAAATGGAGTAATATAAAAATAAATAAAAGTAAAAGTGCAGCTGCCCCTCCTTGTGCCTTAGTAGGTCCGCCTCTGGTTGTATTCATATAGCACAATGCCACGTGGAGGACATCATCACTGTTCATGAGCGGCAGCCAGCCAGCAGCACATAAACAAGTTTTGCAACTAGCAGTAAAACAGGGGACCCTCGGATGCAACTAAACTCATAAATTAATGTCCCGTTCGTCTCGTGTCCAGATACAAAGCTATAAATTTATAATTAAAAAAATGAAACCCTGAAAGCTGTATATCACCAAGTTGAAGAGAAAGTTGGAAAGATCCCCCACAGGACAGGCCCATCATCAACTTGTTGGCTGGCTGCTGACCTCTCTCCTAGTCTCCTCCTACTAGTAAGTTGAAAGACAATGAGAAGACCTCTTTGCTCTAAAAAAGAGTACAATATCTCATTAAATGAATACACCAAAGATCAATCTTTACAGCTTCATAGCATTTATTAACCAATTACTGATGATGTGTCAATACCATCCTCTATCCATACATTAACATAATTCATCTGCATTAGCATGTTTACTAATTTTCAAGACGAATTGAATTGATGATGAATTGAATTGAGGAGTTGGATTTAGGAGAGTTAGATTCCGGATTCCTATTGAAGTTGTTTACTAAATCGAAGTGAGGTAGAAATAGTACTAATTACTAAAATATCCTCATTATTGGGTTAAAGAATATGGCAAATTTGGAATTTTCAAAATTGTGTAAGGATATAATGGGTAAAAAAGATAAATTCCTAATGAGTTACTTCTCCATAAATTAGAATACCATCTCCCACCTAAGAATTGAATTCCTCCAAAATCAGGAATTCAATTCCTAATTTTGTGTGGGCCCCACTTACTTTTTAATTCCTTGATATGAAGTTAACGCATGAATTCTCCATATATGGAATTCAATTCCCGATTAACAAACATGTCATTTGTTGCAATCAAGTTTCGCATGCACACCACATATGCCTCAAGAAAAGTGTAACCCCTACTACTTGCATATGAACTTAAAGCCGTTCATAAATGAATGATGGTCCACAATTGTAACATAAAGCTCCCATCTCTTTCTAATAAATTAAACCGTGCCAATTCATTTCAATCCACATTTCAATCCCGTCGACAAACGCATAGAAGACAATTCTTGTCCGTGCCAAATGCACAGCTTCGTCCAACTCTCACAATAATATATGCGGGACCGATTGCTTATGATAAAATTCGCATATTATATATAAGAATATGACGCAATATACCGAATAAATACAAAAATGACTTCGCAACAGATAAACACAATCCATAAGTTAGCACTTGAGGATCAATGCGTCTTAAATCTTCAATAGGGACAGAGTTAACTTGGAAATTCAGTTTTATAAGATACATGTGTTTGTAATTAGTGTATTTCAGTTTTATAAGATTCATGTTTTTGTATTTAGTGTGTATATATAGTTGTCTTGTCACAAATGGTTGATATTTGTTACTAATTAAAAAGTTGATTAGGGATTCCTTTAGCTAAATACACATGTTTATGGCAACCTATCGGAGATTGACATGCCACATCAAATATGGAGCCTCCCCATATATATTATCATTATCCTAAGCAATATTTTATATCATGGAATTTGGACAGACCAACAGCAATGAACAGTCTCCAATGACTTGAAACAATATATATACTTTGGAGGTTGCGCATACGCAACACCCTGCTTTAAAAAAGGAGTAAAATTCAAGAAATTAAGACAGAAGAGAAGACCATACGAAATAAATTTAATTATATGAAATTAAGGAATAAACAAATCCAATAAAACATAATATGAATTCTTCAATCATATAATTGAACTGAAACAGATGTAGCTTAGCTTAGCTAAATAATTTACAATAACCACCCTGCTAATCATCCATCACTCTTCTGTTTTGTACATGGATCATTAACAATTTTATGTAACCATAAGCTGAGGAAATCCCAAGAAAGAAGTGTGCGGAGATAAGGGAGACAGAGGAGGCACACTGAAAATCCCCTGTTCATTTTCTTTGCTAATATCCCAAACTGCCGTCCAACTCGACGGTGTTAATGGACAAACTCCACTGTTACTTGAACTTGAACAAACCATCTCTTGATTTTCCTTCTTCATCTCTTTATTGCTAATCTCCTCGCTGCTCTGTCTCTCTTGACTATCTGTGCTCTGTTCGCCGCTCTCTCTCCTCCTCTTTCTGCTGCCACCAACAGTTGTCTGCAGAGGCTGCTCTGTTTCTGCTGTTTTTCCAGCTTCCAGAGGGAAGTTGAGAATGGCTTTGCTTCCACGCAGCTTAAAAGCAGCAAGGTCATAAGCTTTGGCAGCTTCAATGGCAGTATCAAAGGTTCCAAGCCAAACCCGGGAACCCCTTCTGTTTGGGTCCCGAATCTCAGCCGCATACTTTCCCCATGGCCTTCTCCTCACACCCCTGTAATGCCTTGCAGTCGCAGAAGCTTCGACCACCAAGTTGTTAGAGCTTGATGGGTTCTGAGGCTCATCACCGGACAGAACTGGCGGTGAGGGTATGGCCACGTTTATGGAGGGTTTGCGGTGGCTCAGAGTCGAGTGTTTGGGTGGTTTTGGGTGAGCAATCTGGGGCTTGGTTTCGAACTGGGTGTCTTGATCAATTTCTGGGAGCAAGAAATCAGAGATTCTAAAATACTGATCAGAGCTGGTGGTGGAGTTTGTCTTAGATTGGGAGGGTAAATGGGAAATTTGGGGTTGGGGGATTTGGGAGGTGCAAAGGTGGAGGCTAGAGATGAAGCTGTCCATGGAGGTGAATTCATTGAGGAGGTGTTGCCTGATCAGGTCTAAAGCTGAAGTTTCTTCATGCTCTGTTGCCATCTTAGACAAAGAGAAAGAAAACTTAGACAAGGAGAGTTGGAAATTGAAATTCAAAGTGAGAAGTGTTGAGTGGAATGGAGGAGAGTGTGGATTTGGATGGAGTATATATATAAATAAGAGGAAGAGAAGATTAAGATTGGAAGAATTGGGGAAGTTGGGGAAGTCCGGGGTTGAGGAGGTGAAGGTGTGGTTTCACTTGGGTTTCCTGGATGAAGATAGGAAGCATCATATGGGGGTACAGACAAGTGGACTTTAGACTGTGGACTGCGCAGCGATATTTACTTTGATATTTTTCAAAGGCTGCACTTCACGTTTTGAATTACCATGCTTCCGGGCTACTTCCAACTTCCAACCCTAACAAATATGATTACGTCTAATTCTGTTTAATCAAATCCAAATAATAGTATTATTTTAATACAGCCCACGTGCTTCAATTTCTAAACTATTGTTTATTATTATATTTCTGTCCTTTGAACTTTTACTAAATAATCTGACTGAATCATCTTTTGTCTTTTTCTGCCATCTACGACAAGTCCATTTCTTTAATTAGCCGTGATTATTAGTTTTTTAATTTTCTTTTAGGGAATCAGTGTTTCTAAACTCTCTAGCAAGGTTGGATTCAGTGTCAGTAACAAAAAAAAATTATAATGATGATGTTTAGGATACATTTGACTTTTCTGGCTACCTTTCTTAGTTTTATGTTTTTTTCTAATTAATGATGATCAACTTGAATATAAAAGAATACGTACATTGTTTTTTGACCAACTAACTTCACAACAATGATCTGCAAGATAAACACAATCCATAAGTTAGCACTTGAGGATCAATGCGTCTTAAATCTTCAATAGGGACAGAGTTAACTTGGAAATTCAGTTTTATAAGATACATGTGTTTGTAATTAGTGTATTTCAGTTTTATAAGATTCATGTTTTTGTATTTAGTGTGTATATATAGTTGTCTTGTCACAAATGGTTGATATTTGTTACTAATTAAAAAGTTGATTAGGGATTCCTTTAGCTAAATACACATGTTTATGGCAACCTATCGGAGATTGACATGCCACATCAAATATGGAGCCTCCCCATATATATTATCATTATCCTAAGCAATATTTTATATCATGGAATTTGGACAGACCAACAGCAATGAACAGTCTCCAATGACTTGAAACAATATATATACTTTGGAGGTTGCGCATACGCAACACCCTGCTTTAAAAAAGGAGTAAAATTCAAGAAATTAAGACAGAAGAGAAGACCATACGAAATAAATTTAATTATATGAAATTAAGGAATAAACAAATCCAATAAAACATAATATGAATTCTTCAATCATATAATTGAACTGAAACAGATGTAGCTTAGCTTAGCTAAATAATTTACAATAACCACCCTGCTAATCATCCATCACTCTTCTGTTTTGTACATGGATCATTAACAATTTTATGTAACCATAAGCTGAGGAAATCCCAAGAAAGAAGTGTGCGGAGATAAGGGAGACAGAGGAGGCACACTGAAAATCCCCTGTTCATTTTCTTTGCTAATATCCCAAACTGCCGTCCAACTCGACGGTGTTAATGGACAAACTCCACTGTTACTTGAACTTGAACAAACCATCTCTTGATTTTCCTTCTTCATCTCTTTATTGCTAATCTCCTCGCTGCTCTGTCTCTCTTGACTATCTGTGCTCTGTTCGCCGCTCTCTCTCCTCCTCTTTCTGCTGCCACCAACAGTTGTCTGCAGAGGCTGCTCTGTTTCTGCTGTTTTTCCAGCTTCCAGAGGGAAGTTGAGAATGGCTTTGCTTCCACGCAGCTTAAAAGCAGCAAGGTCATAAGCTTTGGCAGCTTCAATGGCAGTATCAAAGGTTCCAAGCCAAACCCGGGAACCCCTTCTGTTTGGGTCCCGAATCTCAGCCGCATACTTTCCCCATGGCCTTCTCCTCACACCCCTGTAATGCCTTGCAGTCGCAGAAGCTTCGACCACCAAGTTGTTAGAGCTTGATGGGTTCTGAGGCTCATCACCGGACAGAACTGGCGGTGAGGGTATGGCCACGTTTATGGAGGGTTTGCGGTGGCTCAGAGTCGAGTGTTTGGGTGGTTTTGGGTGAGCAATCTGGGGCTTGGTTTCGAACTGGGTGTCTTGATCAATTTCTGGGAGCAAGAAATCAGAGATTCTAAAATACTGATCAGAGCTGGTGGTGGAGTTTGTCTTAGATTGGGAGGGTAAATGGGAAATTTGGGGTTGGGGGATTTGGGAGGTGCAAAGGTGGAGGCTAGAGATGAAGCTGTCCATGGAGGTGAATTCATTGAGGAGGTGTTGCCTGATCAGGTCTAAAGCTGAAGTTTCTTCATGCTCTGTTGCCATCTTAGACAAAGAGAAAGAAAACTTAGACAAGGAGAGTTGGAAATTGAAATTCAAAGTGAGAAGTGTTGAGTGGAATGGAGGAGAGTGTGGATTTGGATGGAGTATATATATAAATAAGAGGAAGAGAAGATTAAGATTGGAAGAATTGGGGAAGTTGGGGAAGTCCGGGGTTGAGGAGGTGAAGGTGTGGTTTCACTTGGGTTTCCTGGATGAAGATAGGAAGCATCATATGGGGGTACAGACAAGTGGACTTTAGACTGTGGACTGCGCAGCGATATTTACTTTGATATTTTTCAAAGGCTGCACTTCACGTTTTGAATTACCATGCTTCCGGGCTACTTGTGTAAAAATAAATAAATTTATAGCTTTTTTTTCCTTCCTTTGGTTACAAAATTGTAGTTTTATTGTGGAAGATAAGATTTCATGATCAGCTAACCAACGACGAATGTGGGATGCGACGAGAGCAGTCCCACAAGTGACGTTGGAAGGAACTTATTTGTCTAATTATGATATTCTATGACAATGACGTTCTTATTGTTTTTGGATGAATCAACGACAATGGCGTTGATCCAACTGATGTATGTATAAGCAAAAATACAAGTATAAATAAATAATATTGTATCTAAAAAGACACAAGAAGACGTTAATGGTTATGGTGGTCTCATCCACGAAAAAAATATTTATCACATTTTCCACTTTTTTCTAAACTTATAGGACTTCCCAAATTCATCATCTATCTGAAAATTCAGCCAAATAAAGAAAGGTATCAAATTGTATTAATTGTATATTTCCTTTTCATGATTTAATTACTTATCTTTGGGGTCCATGCATGACTATCGAGCCTGGCAAAGATATTGAAAACCAGACCGCCATAAATTGTTTGACAAAAGAAATATCAAACTTGAAGGATCCAGCTCCAAAACAATCCAAACAATTATTAATGTTCCCCAGTGCGTATGTGTTCAATAAGATAACATCGGAATTAAAAGGAAAAAACAAGCCTTTAGGTTCACCAATTTTATAAAATATCTCATTCTCATCTTCATTTTGATATCATCCGTGTCTTTATAGAGAATTGTTAAAGTAGTTTTCCGTGCTTATTGAACAAGAAGTCATGGTAATTGAACTCATTAAATCAATAACCACAATTATCCGCGACTTTTTTGGTTCAATAAGTACGGAAAGCAGATTTAACAACTCCCTATAAAGACATATGTAACTATAATCCTTCACTACAGTGTAGGTTTTTTGTTTTTGCAGTGAGAAGATTTGAAAACATTGGTGCTTGTCTGACCTTGAATGGCCGAATTCAAAAACCACGTGGTGTCCGACCTTGACTCCGTTGTCTCTAAAAAAAATCAAACGTATGCAATGACTTTCGTCCATGGTTTCAACTTTCAATGAAGCAAACAAACAACTGCATGCGAGTTCTTTGTATCGCAACATTCCACTTGCAAAAGATAATTTGATCAACTTGCATGCTATTAATTTATGGATCCTCCCACCCCCACGTAGGCCATAGTAGCACGTAGGATTCTAGTGTCAAAGTGTCAAAGTGTCAAGCAAGTGGGTTTTCTTTTCTCAATGGCAGAGAGCAAGAGAAGCCACCGCTTTCGGAGTTTTGCTTTCCTCAATAGCTGTGTGTGGCTTTGTTGGACCGCTATCGCTCTGATATTAAATTATGGATAATGACATGATGCGTTTGATAATAATCCTAATTATATTATATTATATGGGTGCATTATCTTGGTGACAAGGATGGAGCCGACATAGAGACTATGATTTGGATCCTTTCATGTAGTCAAAATTATACATTAAACAATTATATGAAATTAATTACTTGTATTCAAAAGACGTTAAACAATTATATTAAACAAAGACATTTGCTATGTTTTTGTATTGAATGTACATATAAAAAATGCGAAAATTCCTAGGAAAAAACAAACAAACTATAGGTAAAATGTTTATATATATATATAACAAGTAATGCATGTGATTAGTTAAAAGGAGAGAAAACGAAATTTGTTTGACAAAATAAAAAAGAAAGTCGTAAGACGAGAATTTGGATGTCAATTGGAATATTATGATGTATGTTTTATTCATTCAAATAAGAATAATGACGGTGAGCCGACTTGTTATATATGTTTTGGTGGCCAGCTGCATGCCGTAACACACATTGACAAATATTTTTTTAAGAGGGGCAATTCATAATAATTGAGTTGTAAAAGTTTTACGTAACGTAGCTGCAAAAGTTGGTCACTTCTTCTTCTCACAAGCTCCCAATTTCAACTTTCTTATATTTCAGAGGCATGCACGGTTGACTCGTACAACTCAAAACCAAAAGTATGGGCAGCTGCCATAATAAATAGGTTGTGCTTGCATGAAGAAGAAGACGGTCGAACAATTGTCGTCGGTTTTTATATGTAGTAGGTGGTGACGGCATCCACATATATATAACAAAATGTGAACATATATTAATGTACGATTGCAGAATCATAGGACGGCATTGTGGCCGGTTCGTTTGACATCATCAAGTGACTGCTTGAATTCGTTTGAAGAAAATTAAATCCATTTGTTCTCGAATTTGGATGTAAGAGGACGGACTTACTATGCTAACTAGTTTGCTTAAAATATTACAAGAAGATATAAAGAAACCTCAAGGTTTATTTGATAAATTGGAATAACAAAACATAACCCTAGTCACGGATAAAATATGTTTAAATACTTTTAGAATCCCGAGGAATAAACAAAGAAATTAAAATAGAAAAACAACAAAATTTTCAAAAACAGTAAAAACTTTAAAACTAGATTTTGGGCTAATAAACGATCTTGGATGATCGAAAAAGCCCATGCGTCCTAAATTTACAATTTACCCGATTTGCCCTTGAGCGCACATCGCTCCAACTCCTCTTCGATTACTTCCACCATCTATTTTACATCAAACATTGTGTCAACTATTCATATATCTAGCGACAAATAAGATAGGTCGTTATGTGTGGTCGACGTCCAAGCCTTATTTGCTGGACCATCACCATATGTGAACATAGCCATAACATTATTGCTTGGACATTTCCAAACGTGGGATCCACCATGCTTGGTATTTAGCTGCTGAACTCAAACTTTGCGGTGCTTGCCCTACTTCCACAGTAACATTCATTCGCGTCAAACTACTGACCTAGATATCTGTGTTTGTAACTCTTAATTTCTGTAACGATGACTAGAAAGAGAGGGTTGAATATTGACCAGATTAAACATAAAGAAACCTGAGTTTGATGATTTGCTGATCCCGGCGGTGATGAAAGTTCATATTCCTATACTCTGTTTTGTCCAAACAAGCAAAAGTTTTTTAATTAATTAACCACATGCATAAAATATTGTTTGAATATTCTTACATGGATGGGTTAGTCTTCATTATTGTAAAAATTTGACTTCGCCTATCCGATGAAATTGGTAGAGATCAAAATAGTTTCTATGGACTATAGCTGTGATTTTGTAGGGTTTCAAGATATGTATATAGAAAGAATAAATTAATATGATAATCAGGAATGTATATACATTATATACAGATTATATTTCAACAGTCAACCCAAAATGTACACGGGCTATTGATCTAGGTGATCCGCATCTGACCTCGGCCAATGCATTAAGACTCTTTTTTATTGAGGGATCCTTTAAATAAAAATTATTTGAGGAACATCATTTAGGATCCTTACAAATAGTTTTTCAACGATCCAAATAATTTATTTCTAAAGTCTATATTCATAGATCATCTTTGTAAAAAATTAGACAAATCAGAAACCGTTTCGATATCTAATTATGTCCTATAAAATCAATGAACACGGTGCTTCAAGAAAATACTAAAATTTCAATAATTCAATTGAGTGGTCAAAGTATATAGAATTCAAGTGATTTTTTTATAGAGATGATCTTTGAATAAGTATCTACAAAATAAACGGTTTGGATTAGTGAAACACAATATGGAGTAGGCTCTATATATATAGCTTCCATTGAGGAATTCCTCAAATAAGCTTGTTTAAGGGACACCTTTGTAGGGCTCATTCCGTACTGTATCCCACTTCTTCACCATATATATATATTCACACTAGAAACTAATAGACGACATTGTGGTTGGTGAATATTGAAAATTAAATGGAAACCCGGAAACTAACAGGCGCCAGAAAAAAGAAAAAAAAAGAAATGTATAGAGTCTCATTGACTTTAGTCTTAATCTTTTAATATTTTTGTAGGAAAATTTTGAAGAGCAGTATGATGACGATGATCGGAAAATTGATGGGTAGGGCAAATGTATCTTCAACATGTCCCTTTCTGCGTTGGCTTCCCGTGCAGCCTCCAATAAACCTATGTAAAGGTACATTCATCCGGACAGTGTGCTTTTTTGAATGTACAGGAGAAAGGAGATGAACGACCCCACTAGTTAGACTTTTTGCATAATTACTGGTTAATCCGTACTGATAATTCCTACTTAATTACTTTAGTTACGTACCTGTACTGAGCTTCTGTGATGAGATTCCTTGCCATCCCAACCAATGGCCCAAATTTAGGGTTAACTCTTGCGTTTTGGACTCAACCACAGGGTGTGGAAAATGTTTAAGATTCAAAATTAGGGTTTTAGTTCTCAGTTTTTAACTTCAAAATCCAAGAGTTCGAAGTAAATTTTTAATTAAGTCCTTATAAATAAATAAAAAGACTGCCTCTCATTGCATATATTTGCTAACTAATTAAGTGATTTTGAATAGGGAAGAGTCACTTCTGGGGAGGAGGTGTTTCTCCCTAGAATTCTCCAAAAAGGTTCTTTTTCACTTATTCAAAATCACTCTCAAACGAGTATACTACTGTACACACACGTGTAGTAATATTAAACTAGATAAAATTTTTTCCTTGTTGTGTGGGGCTTGACCTAAAATATCTATTTAAAACTAGATAAAGAGTGGTACTTTTTTCTAAGAAACTTGTCCAAGATGAAGAAGGCACGCCAGACTTTTGTCTATAACTCTAATGTACGTTAATATATATTTTTCATTAATTTTAGAATGAATTATTTATATTTATTTAAATTAAGAAAAGTATTATAATTTGGAGAAATCCCACCCACTCTGACGCCCGATTTGGATCTGTGGGATACAAAGATGAAGATGACAAATCCCGTTGCCGTCCCGAACAACCTTCAAGGGGATTTCCATGGTGCTTTGTGGGCCAAGTGATTGATTGATACACTGCACCCATTAACGCCCTAAGCTTCTTATGCTCCAATGGCGCACATGAGCGATTATTTATTGGCCATTGGGTTTGGTAAAGCTATTTTTAAAGCCATTGGGCTCATCACTTTTTCTCATTGCCATTATTTCTTAGTAAGATCCGAAATGAACAAGAAATTTCATCCTCAGAGACGATTGATTGATCATTATCGACTTTAATTTTTATTTTTATATATTTTTTATATATAATTTTATTGTATTTCACTGGTGAAACCCGAGGGTAAGTTGTAAATTAACATGAAGAAAAAACACTCATCACTTTTTGGAGTGGGTTTGCAATTGCAATTACTGATCACTTTGTAAATAATTAACAATTGCAGATTATAATTACGCCACATTGACCACTTAAAACTCTCATATTATATATCCGTTCCCTAGCTAAGCCAGTACACAACTAATATAATGATCACCTAGCTAACCAATAGTTGTTCGCCAAGTGGCAGCAGACCCATACTACTGTTTTGCCTTGTCCGAAACACATTTGCTTGATGATGATCATGTTCAGCCACCGAGGAGGCTTTGGTCCTCTTAGCGGATTTTGGCGGCGTTGTTGAAGCAGCCGCAGCGGTCTCTGCCTCGGGCTCTTTGCGCTTGCCGGTGACTCGGACAGGCGGTGGCTCATTCAAGCCAATCCGGTGGGGGAAATTGAGCAAAGCCTTGGAGCCACGCATGCGGTATGCGGCTCGGTCATAAGCCAGAGCCGCTTCCTCAGAAGTCTCGTAGGTCCCGAGCCAAACTCTAGCTCCATTTTTAGCCGGGTCCCGAATCTCAGCGGCGAACTTCCCCCACGGCCTCTGCCTTACCCCTCTATAATGCCTCCCTCTCGCCACCCCGGACTTTGGCGCCTTATTTTGATCAGCTGCATCAACTACTTGCGCTTGCTTCTGATCATCATGATGATCATGTTCAAAGGGCAGGGTGATTGGAGCATTATTGACATCTTGGTATTGTTGGAATTGGGTGAAAAAGTTTGGGAGCGCATGATGGTGATCAAAGGGATCATAGAGGAGGGGCTCAGGCTTGACATATTCGTACAAGCTGTGATCGGGTAACCAGCCGAAGCTAAGAGCATCGTTGAGGGAGCTGTAGACAATCATGTCCTCCGAGTCATCAACTTTGAATGGCAAATCTCCCCACTGTTCTGTTAAGCATGGTATCAGAGATTGATTATTATCACTCATGATCACCAGCTTGTAATGGCTTAATTGCTAGAGAGAAGAAGAAGAAGAAGAAGAAGAAGAAGAAGGAGGAGGAAATATGAGGAGTGACTTACGAATTTTGGAAGAGGAGGTAAACAAGAGTATATATAGAAGCGGGGGAGGGGATCTGCAGAACCAAGATATTACATAAATATCTTTTTCTATTTTCTTAATTTGGGAATTTTATTTATTATTTATTTGTAAGAAAATGATTTGTGAGTTTTTTTTAATTTTCTTTCCTTTTTATCTTTCTTTGTAATATGAATGGGAATTTAAAGGTTGACAACTAGTGGGCAAAATGGTTGGGAGAGGGAGGGGGAGGTGGGGGTTTCTTTCTTTCACGTGACTAATATACGTACGTGAGTGAATGGGTCGAAGTGCTGATGTCATGGGGTTCCGTTATCCTTTGTGCCAGGTGTATGCATGATGACAGGTTAAATTTCTTTCTTTCCGTCATTTTCCAGTTTCTGCATGCGTGTGAAAACCGAAACCTGCAAATTTAACAAACCCAGCTATGTGTTTGCAGCTGTGGTCTGTGGGGATGATTTATTTTCTCACAAAGAGCTTCAATAATATTTAATTTTCTGTAATAATATAATTTCATATATACAAATTATAATATTGTTAACTGTGATGCTACAGCTTACGTCATCAGAAGCAACTAGTCAAATTGCACACTGAAAAAAATGATGGGTCTTTTGCTCCCCCGCACCACTAGACTTATAATATCAATTTTAAATTCCTTATTTTTCTTTTCATTTAACAAACCAAATTCCGGAAAATTTATTATTATTTTTATATATACAAGTGCAACTAACCTAATTTATTTTTTGCTTTATTGAGATGAATATCTGATTTTTCTGGTCCGTATATCATGCTCATATCTCTACGCTGTGTATATGCCAACAACTTTAGTAGCTTGTTTAATCAAACATGCTTTAGTTTACTTGTTTTCATGATTTTCATTAGGAGGTATATCTATTCAACCATTTTTTTTAATCACATACCGACTCTTTAAAAATGTTTCTACTTTGACTCTCACACATTTTTAATTACAAAATTATCGTTTCTTTGTGTTTAAAAATATATTTGATGCAACCATGTGAACCGTGTAAGTCCAAGTTGGTTCAATCGTCTATGTGAATTTGCGCCAGAATCGGACTGGACCAAATTGAACTAGAAATCTTTTTTGATTCCTTTAATGAGTGTAACCCACTACCTTGAGCAAAGGCCTTGTTTGTTATCTTTTTTCCCGTGAAGTTCATTCATAACTCTGAATTGATTCTCTATATATCATTTTCAAATTTGTCCTCTTAATTAATTTAATTTGGCAACATATAATACAAGTAATTTGTCAAAGTAATTAAGCAAAAAGTAAAGATTAGCTTAAGATGCGTTTAATTTCTACGTGGGAAGACTTGATAAAGCTTGACCTAGATGTTGCTAGTCGCCCATGAATTAATGCGTATCTCCCAACTGAGAGAGGGAAGGGAAGGGAAGGGAACTTTTCTTTCAGCATGTGAAATGATTTGATTCTGAGCTGAGGCCCAGTTCACACCTTCAAATAAAATTACATTATTATGTGGTTTGCTCAGAGAGATGTTATTGCCTTTGCATACCTTTTTTAAGTTTTGAATGAATTCTGAAGTTGACCCAGGATATTTTTTTTAGTATGAGGATTGAGGAGGTAGGTAGGAACCAAAAAAAAAAAAAACCAACGTACGTAGCTAAAATTCTTTGTAATTAATTGATCAACGACTTATTGATTGAAAAAAAAGAACATAATAACTTAATTTTCACTATTAGAAAAGCTCGATATAAGCCGCGGATTTTGATGTTGAACCCTTTTTACTTATGATATTTTGAGTCAATATATAAAAGCCTGGGAAAACATGTGCAGACTCCAGCAATTTTACTCCGTTGTTGTAATATATTTGAGTATTAATTAATTTAGAGGATGAAGAAAAATTGTTGCTAGTACTTATGAGTGATTATGCTTTGTGGGCCAAATATTGACTAAATGATAACTTTCTCCAAAAACTATAATTATATCCGTGGTCTAACTTTTTCCAATTATTGGAAAAACAAGGTCACTTTATGTATCCGGATCATATTACAGACCAATTGAAAAAAATCCACTTAACATGTGTGGCACATTTGCACCGCGGTGCAGGGCAAATAAAATGGAAAATGCAGATGAGTGCATTTAAAACATTTCCAATTATATACATAACAATTGGGTCTCAAAGCATCTTTTTTCTGATGTTGACGAAATTTGTACATGCACAGGAGAAGTTGTCTCTGATTTTCCATCCGAGTCAGAGCATAGGGGGATGGTGGTTGGTGAGCCCTGTTTTCAGTTAATCCAGCCAAATTAACACCACTTTATTCAAATTAATTTGGCATTGGTTTGAACTTTAAATAACACCACTTGTTTTTATGCATATCTTCTTCTTCTTCTTCTTCTTCTTCTTCATGCACTTAAATATATAAGTTATAACTACACTTAAATATATAATTAAGTACTTTTTGACGAAAGAAAGTCTTTGTGGTTTTTAGCCTAACTTTAATTCATCTGAGCATTAGAATCAATAGTATAATCGCATCTTAACCAAACTCAAGGTCACTGACTCACTGAGGCAAGCTTTTTTAAAAAAATAGGGGAAAATTTCCTATTGCAAACAGTTTAGACACTAAATTTAAATCACTGATAAAGTAATTAAATCTTTGTGAATGTGACATACATATGAGAGAAGAAAAAAGGTCAAAAGTTACTTTTAGGGGCTTGAAATTCAACTACTAATTCCAATTTTTGAAGAACCCTAAATCCAAATGGCCAATTTCAAGTCATAATATGAAATGGGGGACAGTTTCAAACGAGCTTTTACGTTCAAGGATTTCAGACGAGCTTTTATGTTCAGAGTAGATTAGTAACGTTTGTTCTTCGTTTTTGCTAAATTTTAAAGTGAAAGGAATCAAATTCAGAAACAAGAAAGAAACACTTGGTCAAAAACATTATCTGCAGACAGCATTAATTTTGATGATTGGTTCTTCTCTTACATTGTGGAATTGAGTGGTGGAAAACTTATTTTTAAAGGTATTTATTAAGAAAGAGAGAAGGTCAAGGTCTTCAGGGAAAGGTTTCCATGAACAACTTCCATTTAAATGAAAAGTAGTCATCTCTACTTTTTTGAACTTGTCGCTATAACTTAACTTAATTAGGGGAAAGAACTTTTGGATATTGATCCACAACTTTAACCAACTCCATCAAATACATTCGTTGGCCTCCCACAATTGCAAATTCTATGTCCATTTTCTTCAACTTTTGTCCCATTTCATACTTCAAAACACAAATTACACATCCTCTGAATCTGAATTGCTCAACCAAATCGGATTCCACAGGGTAATTTGGGAAATAATAACTTCATGAAGTTGGAATATAATAAGAAGAGAATTGGGTCAAAATCAGTCCAGTCCAGTATGTGATTTGGGTTGGGTTGGACTGAAACTTATGAAATTTGAAATCAATTGGGGCTTAGCCCAACTTAATATATAAGATCATTCTTATCTGATGCCTTCGAACTCTCCACACCCTTCCCAATAATCTCGACACTCTCTTTACTCCTCAACAGATCACTCAAATAACGACAAACGACGTGTCGCGAAACGAAGCCAGTTCATTACATGCAGCCCCTGCATGAGAAGCTCGTCAACACGTGCCCTGCCTTCCCTCTACACGTGCCACCCCAACTCATATCCTCCCTCTTATATAAACCCTAACCCACCAATGCACCCAATATCACCAAGACTAGCACATTTTGTTCATAAAATCAGACCCAAATTTTTCATCAATTCAACCATCTTGAGAGAATGGCCGATCAGCACTTCCAGCAGCCCCTTAATTTCCAAGGCAGCTATGGCCAGCAGCAACCCAAGTCTTACCAGGTGGCCAAGGCGGCCACTGCAGTCACCGCGGGTGGCTCCCTGCTAGTGCTCTCCGGTTTGGTCCTTGCTGGCACGGTCATTGCTTTGACCATCGCCACTCCGCTGCTCGTCATATTCAGTCCGGTTCTTGTCCCTGCTTTGATCACCGTGGCGCTGATAACGATGGGGTTCTTGACTTCCGGTGGATTTGGTGTGGCGGCCGTCACGGTGTTGTCGTGGATCTACAAGTACGTCACCGGGAAGCAGCCACCAGGGGCTGACCAGCTGGACCAGGCTCGTCATAAGCTGGCTGGGAAGGCGAGGGATGTTAAGGACAGGGCTGAGCAGTTTGGTCAACAGCATGTCCCCTCTGGTCAGCAACAGAGTTCTTAAATACTATGTCAATGCACTGCCATCAAATCCTTGTAGTTGATCATCAGGCGACAAGAATAATTGGAGTTTATATAGATCATCAGGCCCTCCCATTGGTTGTGTGTGTCTGTAATTTCGTGTGTATTGAGTTGTTTTAGTGAATGTGTCTGTCTGTCTGTTATTTTGTTAATTTAATAATGTACGTTTATTTCTGTGTCTTCTCTTGTAATGAGTTGAATATTTGGGACCTTTTTCCCTTCCAAAAAAGACCTAAATAAATAAATAAATAAAAAAGAAACGTACGTTATTGTGCATTTTTTATATTTTCCTCCCATTTCCTGCCATAATAACAATATTTGCTTGTGGAATCTGTGCGATTTGCTCCCACCGAAAAACGGGAAACTTTAGCCAAAAGAAAAAGAAAGAAGGTGTTTGCTTGCTAGCTACTTGGGACTGTGTAATACGTGTCGCAATGTATGGCACTTTGCCAGTGTTTGTTGGATCTTCCAAGAAAAAAGTATTAATTGTTGACCAAAATCTGTTTTACCTCATCACCCATAATTGGGTTAACATGTCATCCACTATGTTTGTATTTGTTTCATATAAGGCATGTACATATTTCACACTGAGATAATCACGGAGAGATTTTTAGGAGAGTGGCAGCCGACCTCCTATTGCTTGCTTGTGTAGAAACAGGAAGGCATGGTACCCAGTTTTGTGGGATTTGATTGTGAAGTTACGTGAGGTCAACTTTGGTGTCAACACAACCCAAGAGTAGTCACTCAAACATGAAAATTCACAAGGTAAACATAACATAAACCAAAAGAACCAAATTTTACCAAAAAATTAGAACAAAAAGAAAATCCAAAACCCTAATAAACACGAAAGTGTTTTTTTAATTATCTTTCTCACGTCCATTACCTCACCGAAGGAGGTCCCAAAACCCCTCCCACGTTAGATCCGCTGCCTCCACCGTTCGAAGAGCCTCCGCCCATTTCCACCGCTTCTAGCATTTGAAGAGATGGGGCGACTGCCAACATCTTTCCTACACCACCCATGCCAAAACTTGCATACCAACCCAGGGAAAGGATGGCGAGAGTTAAGACTTGTAATCTCGAGTTCTGAAAGAGGTAATTAATTAGTCAAGGTTCTGTGTACCTAGCCAATCAGTCAACTACAAGGAAATGAAGTCATCTTCCTTTGCAATTTTCGCATTTGTCTTTAACATCAACTCCTGATTTCTTTCTCATGCCCAACAACTACCATCTCCAACGGAAGGAAGGAGGACAAACCCAAAAATTGGGATTTTTAATACAAATTCATGCAAATTGTAGATAGATATATATGTGATATGTCACAAACTCAGTTATATTCTTTTTATCTACTACTGGGGGTTTAAAAAGCATTAAAAAATTAACCTAAGTTATCCTGAGTAAAAAATTAATAAGTTAATGGAGCTGCAGAAAGAAGACTGAGAGCGAGAGGAGTGAAGGTGAAGACTGTATCAGCACAGAATGCGAAGCTTCTCTTTTCCATCACAATGTCCTGTCCTTGACCTCCTCTATTTCTACTCAGACTTCACAAACAACTTCACTTGAAACACAAAACCAAGCAGAGAAAATGGATGAGTTTGGTCTTCAAGATCTCTTTGCCTCAGAATCTGACCACATGCCCTCACAAAATTCCTTAAGCTGCTCAAAAGACCCAGATTTCTACTATGCATTTCGCCTCGAAGCCATTTCTCTGTTTTTACAGGTAAAAGAGTGAAATAGAAGAAGAAGAAGAAGAAGAAAAGAATGACTACAGGTTACTTTGTACTTCTTGGAGAAAGTCCTATCTCATGGAAAACAAAGAAGCAAGATACTGTGTCACGCTCATCAGCTGAAGCAAAATATAGAGCGATGGCTATGGCAACTTGTGAACTCCAATGGTTACGATATTTACTTTATGATCTTGGTCTGTCACACACCACACCAAGCTTACTTTATTGTGACAACCAAGCTGCTTTATACATAGCAGCTAATCCAGTATATCACGAGCGCACCAAGCATATTGAGATCGATTGTCATGTTGTTCGAGAGAAGATTCAAAATGGTCCTTTACGTACTGCCTATATTCCTTCAAAGGAGCAACTCGCAGATGTCTTTACCAAGTCTTTAGGTAAAGATCAATTCCAACGACTCAAAAACAAGCTGGGTATTCTTGATCTCCATACTCCAGCTTGAGGGGGAATATTGAAGATATGGAAAGATTACAAAATATATTGTACATTATTTGTTACCTTGTATAGGAATAGTCAACTTCTCTGTTAAGGCTTGTACAAATTAGTGCCTTTAACTTAGGATTTAAATTACCTTCCTTAGGTAGTCTTATTAGCTTTATATATTGGCCTTCTTCTGTATTGCAAATATACGAACTATACGAGATATTATTTCACATGGTATCAGAGCCTACACTGGTCTCTGTTAAAACCCTAAACCTCCTTTCAAGCCTCTCTTCACCCTACAATCACTATATCTCTTGACCAGTCAGTCATGGCTGCTAATCAATCATCATCTCAGAAGCCTTTTTATCATTGCAATTTTTGCAAACCTGAGTAAAAAATTAATAAGTTAATGGAGCTGCAGAAAGAAGACTGAGAGCGAGAGGAGTGAAGGTGAAGACTTTATCAGCACAGAATGCGAAGCTTCTCTTTTCCATCACAATGTCCTGTCCTTGACCTCCTCTATTTCTACTCAGACTTCACAAACAACTTCACTTGAAACACAAAACCAAGCAGAGAAAATGGATGAGTTTGGTCTTCAAGATCTCTTTGCCTCAGAATCTGACCACATGCCCTCACAAAATTCCTTAAGCTGCTCAAAAGACCCAGATTTCTACTATGCATTTCGCCTCGAAGCCATTTCTCTGTTTTTACAGGTAAAAAAATGAAATAGAAGAAGAAGAAGAAGAAAAGAATACTTGTGAGCTCTGTTTCTTCAGTTAATTTCTCTCTTCTTGCATATTGGTCTAAACTTGTCATGATTTATCAAGCACAATATTCTGTAATTAAAGAGCTTGATTTTCTTGAATTTGGTGAAGGAGGCGACAGCGTGAGGGTTAAAAAAAATCTATAAATTTTTTTTATAAAAAAAAACAAACAAAAACCGCCTAGACCCGCCTAGGCTGTCGCCTAGAGCCTAGGCCAAAATTTTTATATTTTATATTTATTTATTTTTTTGATGATTCTATCCCCTTTAATTTCTGATGATTCAACGCAGATTTTTGACGTTGAGAGGTTTTAGGAAAGTTGCAAATGCCGTTGTTACAAGTCAGAAACACAGATTCTGCTAGAGGAATACCTCATTCTCATTGTACAATATCCTGGTCAAGAGGTGAAGCCCATAGTAGTTTCCGTAAAGGTTAGGCATCCTGGTGTTGGTGAATCGATTAGAAGAGATTTTTTTTCTCTTATTGTTTATACACATTGCGCAAGTTGTGCATTTATTATATGATTAACACACCCAAAAAGGTTCTAGTCAAGATGGTCATGTGGCTTTAGCGACAAAAAGAAAGCAGCATATAGCCGAAGCCGATTCTCAATGTCCCCACTTTGCACCATTATCACATCCTTAGTCCTCATTCTATGACGATGCCAAGCAAGTTGTATGATCACAGCCCCCCACGTTCTCCAATTCGACGAGTAATACCTCGCTGTACGTCTGAGCCCTTCATTCGAAAATTTGTAACGAAAATGATCGATGATGTAGTGAAGACAATTTGCATCCAAACCAAATGCCTCAATTGATTCCATGCAAGTAAATGTTGCTGAAGAGGGAGGAAGTCGACCTCTAAATGGGCGGCGAAGGCACCACGAGAGAAGCTCGTCACCAAAGAAACTGCCGGGTTCAAGCACACTGGTGGCTAGGAACCCTTTGCTGAGGCCTTGACTGCGTTTTATGCGTCCACGAACTATGAACATCATTCTTTGTACGGGGTCTCCTTCTCTAATCAACTATATAGTCATTTCATGCATCAGCAGTAGACAACTATATACGTATTTAGGTAGCAACACTCGAACAAATATACATATGACGCTATAGTTTCGTACCTTTTCACCCTTGGAGTAGATAATTGGCCGTACAAGATCACAGATGTTGTCAAGAATAACATCTTCTAACTTATGAAATAACGGTACCTAATAATGATTAGATGAGCAGAGATACAAAAGGTTGAATAAAATTTGTCACAAAATCAAGGTCATGGAAGGTGTTACCTGCTTGACAAGATCTAGGCAAAGGTAACGCTTGATGTCCCTGCGGAGGCCATCGGGGAAATGCTGGATCAACTCAAGCTCATCTAGCCCTTGCATGGCTGCCCAACTGCAACGTTGAAAATGGCGAACTCTCTTCCTCAAATGAGATGGCAACTGTCTTCGCTTCATCCAACATTCCATGTCTCGATATTTCAACTGCATTTTCTTCTTATTTTCCATCACCGAATGCAGAAATATCTACACAATAATACAACACAACACAACACCATCAACAATCAGCATTAAGTTATTAGTTATTATAATTAACTATGAAAATCTCTGTTCTGGGTGACCTGGATATTTCCAAGCAATGTAATGAAGAGACCCAAGCCCACAAGCGTTACACAGCAAGAGAATATGAGTTCAAGCCAGTCACTTGTAGGGATAAGGTTGTTGGCAAAGGAGCTGCAAATGAATTTATGCCAAGAGGTATCAAATACAATATGCTTTATGATTAGGAGATTATTAAGTAGATTGATAGGTTATTACCCGAGGTTAATTAAACCCCAATATATGGGGTAAAGGATCCGAACGGCGAGTGTGTTGCCAGCATAGACCACGAGTAGGGGTTTATAAATTCCATACCCAAATGTAGTATCTTCATCCAAGCACATTGTCGTTATCTTTGTGAATGCATTGCCACCAGTCCAACCGTCAAATTTGTTTGTTTACACTTCGAGATCATATACGCCAAAAAGCGGAAAAAATAAACATTCAGAGATTAAGTTATAGGACAAAACTTTTCGACGGTTATAAACGAAAAATCACGATTTAACGGTTATTTCAACTCTGATTTTGATGATTTTTTACAGCTACACTCCTTGACCCTATATGAATATAATGAGCCACTT